TCTGTAGTTGTGAAATCTCTTGAAAGACTGTCAGCCGGGACTTTGCTGGAGAGGAATTCCCTTTAACCTAAATAAATGGGTTTTTTTATCGTGACAAGGGGTCTGCTTCGTGCTCTTGGGAAGCCTAGGTCAGAACATTTTGGGAGCACCTGTTCTGTAAAGAAATAATTTCAAAATGCATACAATTTTTTATGGGGCCCAGAAATCTTTTGGAGGGGTCATGACTTGACTTCATTCAATCACTCAGAGGAACCTCAATAGCTAATAAGGTAGCAAACCTGGCTGGTGGTGGATGCCATTCCGTGTAGCAGGACATGTTCTCCTTCAGGTTCTCGGTGGCTTTCCTGGCCACCACCCTCTCCGTTCTCTGCTGAGCTCTCCGTGGTGCTGAAATCTTCTCCAGGAGATTGCTCCATGCTTTGAGGAGGTCCGTTATCTGCTAGGTCACCCTCAGGCAGAGGTGAGGGTGAAGTGGAATCGGTCACCTGGAGTCCTCCATCAAGCTGACCCTAAAACATATGCATATCCAGAAGATGGAAAAAAAAAGGGAATGTAAATCTGGATATTCAACAAAATCCTGGATTTGAGAATGTTGTGGTAGCTTTGGGCCCATTACTATATCGGATCACCAGGCATAAATCAATCTACAATAGATTTGTTTAAAAATAAATCCAGTTGGGGGGGGGGAAACTATCAATCTACCCGTTTCCTTGTAGAAAGAGTGTAGAGTTTCTAAGACACTTCTTAACTGGGTGTATACCACACATTGAACGTAAATCCTAGGAAATCACCAGCGCTCGCTTAACGTGACTCTCAAAACAGGCTACATTACAGTAAAATCTTGATCGAAACTCAAGGGAGAGAGCTATCTGTTATCGGGTGTGACTCACGCTGTTGTCTTGCTTAGCAACAAAAATTCTGGTGCCAATAATGGTTGTGAGTCAAGGACTACCTATATCTGGAATTTGAACAATATGGGCATAAGAATCATTGGGCACATGAGAGTCTAACTAACATACCAACATGAAAGACCATTCTTGGTTAACCTCATTACTGAACTAATTATTCTGTGTCCTCAGCTTCTTCTATGAAACCATTTCCCAGGTGTTTGGAGAGTAGTAAACTGCCAGAGTCACTTCCGAGAGAGAGAGGGGGGACCATATAAATGTGGTAGACTGTTTGTTTGTTTGTTTGTTTGTT